GCTGATGGAGAATCAACAGGGGAAGAAGTATTCCTATTGGAATTTCCTTGGGCTGCCATAGTTTTTAACTGTAAGAAAGATACGATTGCTACTGTTAACATGGTACTTTAGTTGAATTAGAAAAGCTACAAAAGCCTCGTGAGAGTCTAAGAGAGATAAGAAAACTTTGTGAATCATGATCAATTACCTGTCCTTGACCGAGATTCGAGAAGATGATTTGTACAACATCAAGCAACTGAACAACTCAACTGAACTACTGAAGTACTGAACGTCTAAGACTCAAAGTGACTCGAGCAAAGACAGCTTCAAGAAAGCAATCATCAACTAGCTGGCTTTGAGTTACAAGGAAGAGCAACCGGAGTTTCTATTTATCTATGGAAACTGAAATTGGAATGGGGATGGAGGAAACGAAACGGTGACCTATGGATAGGAGATGGAGAAGGAAATCGAAATATGATAGGCTGAATTCATGATGGTTTTTCTTCGGGAAGCCAAACATCTCGTTGGCTGAATGAATTCTTCTTGGGGTTGAGGATGGAGGGTTAATGATGGAGTAAATAGGAGAGGGGAGGGGAAGAGTTGGGCACCTGCAAGCTGTAGGGGTTGATGGGAATTGAGATTATGAATTGTGGCGAGGCAATTGAGGACGGCGGAGAGGGCGCCCGATTCGGCGAGCTGGCGGCGGAGGGAAGGGTCGAATTTGGTGAGCTTGGCGAGGCGGGAGAGGGAATCGAGCTTGGAATTGGGGGTGGGGGATCGGGAAGTGAGGGTGGAGATTAGGGTTTCCAGCGGCGGCTGGTGATGGTGGGATGGGTCGTGGAGGTGGAGTTTGGAGATGTGGGCGTAGTTGGGAAAGGGAGGAGGGGAAGATCGATAGACGAAAGGGGCAAGGAGCGGGGCGGGTCGGGGACGGGGCGGGGCAGGGGTTATACCCAAACCTGGACTGGACTGTGGGCGGGCCGGATCGAGACCCGCCCCATCTCTTAACGGGCCGGGTTTTATCCGTCCCTATGCGGGTTGGGCCGGGTCAGACCCGCCGGATCGGGCTCAAAGTCCCTAGCCTAAGGGTGAGGAGTTGGTTAAGTTTTGTACTAAGTGTAAAGGTTTGTGACCGTTTATGCAAATTAACCTTAAGTTTTGGGTGTTGAGCTCTCTTATCCGGTCTTTATCCGGTTTTTTACCTCAAATCTAATCCCAAAGATTGGATTAGATTGTTTACTATCCGGTTCTGGTCCGGGTTATACGGTCCGGTTTTCGGTTTTTCATTCGGTCCCGGTCCAAATAGCCAGCCCTACCTAATATATATTATATACACATACTTAATACTTGGCATAACCACTCAAAAGGCAAACATTCCTTTCTTGAGGCTCATCAACAATAAAGTTTAATATTGTTCCTATACTGTATATTCGTATTTGTAAAGTGTAGACCATGATCTATGAACGCCCAATTTAGATAAAACTCGTACAATATATTAGATTAAAACTTGAAAGGAAGATATTTTTCAACCTATCATAATTGCTAAGAGACTAAAATTCAATTCAAACAACCACAACAACTAGTGGTCCTTAGAGACATTCTAAGGGACTTTCATTCTCTCTTCTCGTCATTTATGTTAGTTTTGTGTCCTTTTGCTCATTATAGCTTTTACAGAGCTACCAATCTAGTGCCAAAAAAACTTTTTCAACGGAAGTCCGATTGCATACGATTATTTATTATTATCAATGCTGTAAATTTGTCGTCCCGTTCATACTTTCGAAGCTGGGACTTATCTTGGATTACAAAACCCCTTAATCATTATGAGAACCTGTACCATCGTGGTACAACTTAATTATACCACATATGTACCAACATGGTATAGATCCTTTGTAGTACTACGTACAGAGATATCTGAAGTTTTGTACCATCATGGCACAAAACGCTTGAACGCATCCTTGATGAAATGTAGAATTCAAGTCAAAACAAAAACAAAAAAACTACCCAATGGTGCATAATAATTAATTAAAAATGGTACGTGCTCGTCGTCTCTTGTCCCAGAAAGCCCATGAACAAGAGCACTGAAAATGAGTCTTACTTCCTAGTGAACTTCTATGTGCCCCAAAAAAGTTCTCTTCTTTGGCTTTGAGGCCCCAAACTCCAAAGGAAAGATATACAATAAGGGCCAGACAACGAAATTGTGGGAAAAAATCCAATAGTACCACTGTTTAAAAAAAAATTCCAAAAATACCACCCAACCCCAAAAAATTCCAAAAATTACCATCTTTTTTTAAAAACCGCTTGTCGGGGGCGCGGTTTTGGACCAAACCGCGGGCCTAGGGGGCGGTTATAAAAAAAAATGGACCAAACCGCTGGGTGGGGTGGCGGTTTGGCCCAAAACCGCCACCCCAACCAGCGGTTTGGTCCAAAAAAATTTTTTTCCGACCAACTCCTAACTTCGGTCGAAACTTCAAACGAACGTAACTTTGCACTCTGGTATCCGATCATAGCGATTTTTTTTTTCATTTCGCATAACTTTTCAAGATCCACAACTTTTACAAGGATGAAATTTTCAAAACAGGAACTATTTGTGGATATACGGGACCTTGAGAATAACTTTACCTTTACTTTTCAAAAATCCATGTACATTTTGAAATTATGATTATATTAAAAGTTGTAGATCTTGAAAAGTTATGCGGAATCAAAAAAAAGTTCATAACATTCGGAGTTTGGAGCACAAAGTTATGGCCGCCCAAAGTTTGACGAAAGGCGAGACCCGGCGGTTTGCGGCTTGCAAGATCTCAAAAAGTTTGCTGCCTCCATTTCGTCAAACTTTGGGCGGCCATAACTTTGTGCTCCAAAATCCGAATGTCATGAATTTTTTTTTATTCCGCATAACTTTTCAAGATCTACAACTTTTAATATAATCATAATTTCAAAATGTACATGGATTTTTGAAAAGTAAAGGTAAAGTTATTCTCAAGGTCCCGTATATCCACAAATAGTTCCTGTTTTGAAAATTTCATCCTTGTAAAAGTTGTGGATCTTGAAAAGTTATGCGAAATGAAAAAAAAAATCGCTATGATCGGATACCAGAGTGCAAAGTTACGTTCGTTTGAAGTTTCGACCGAAGTTAGGAGTTGGTCGGAAAAAAATTTTTTTGGACCAAACCGCTGGTTGGGGTGGCGGTTTTGGGCCAAACCGCCACCCCACCCAGCGGTTTGGTCCAATTTTTTTTTTTATAACCGCCCCATAGGCCCGCGGTTTGGTCCAAAACCGCGCCCCCGACAAGCGGTTTTCGACCAAACCGCTGGGAGGGATGGCGGTTTTTGAAAAAGGGTGGTATTTTTGAAATTTTTTGGGTTTAGGTGGTATTTTTGGATTTTTTTTTTAAACAGTGGTACTTTTGGATTTTTTCCGAAATGGTGAAGGGGAAGCAAAACGCACCAAAGGGGCACTTTTCATTTTTTGTTTCTAGCGAGGTATGAGATTGAGAGCAAGTGGCTATCACATTGGCCACAGAAACACACTCTATATAGAGCTAGCTATGGGGGAACAAAAGATACCAATTTAGTACTGTCTTATTTATCTGTTGTTGAAGATGATCTTCTCCGTATCGATCTAATTTTATAAAATGCTTCCGAGGGATGGTTGAAGAGGATGCTGTATAGAATATTTATATCTCTTTTAAGTGTTTGAATTTACTGGCAATGCTGATCCTCCATCTATCTCAGACCATTAATTAGTAGCTTCTTTGACTTTAATCTTAAGTGATTGTATTTTGTACTGTTAAAATTGTGTATCGACTTGAGTCTGAGTAGACAATTTTCTAGCTAGACCACTAATACGGTACAATGTTGCACATACCGATCAAAATGGTGCTTCCCACCATTTTTCATTCTCCACACATCTCGACTCCTTTTAGTCCGAGCGCTTTTCCACAATGGCGAGAGGTCGTAACAATATACACCATCAATAATAAAGGCCGGTGGATTTTGTCTTTGTCTTGTTTGTTTCCTCTTTTTGGCTCCCACTTTTAGTCAAATACACTTGTGCTTGTCCCCCTCCTCCCTCTTGTATTGTTCATTTTTTCTAACTAGAATGATTATTCACAAAACGGGGGATAAAAATTATGTTCCATTGCCATCATCATTGTTGCCACCATCACCACCAACGTACGACAAAAATTAAAGCTGCAGCAGCAAGCTTCATCCGCCTCTTGTTGCATTGCCGACTGGGAAGCTTCAATCGGACCACTGATCAACTTGTTACTAATCAGTATCCAATCTATGTCTCTCTGATCACTTAATTATATTATATGTAAACCAAAACCTTGATAATTCGATCAATTTTATCCATAGATCGTGGATCAGGCTCGACATCGAGAGGTGCTTGGTGCTTCAAATGAAGCCTTGTGAAATGTGGTCGTATGCGCGGTTTGATTCACGGTAAACTAAGGAACAACCGCGATAAGTGCACCACTCATATGAAGATACGAAGATGATGAAGAATTTTGGTAGCCCACACTAACGACCATTTCAAGGTTGCATATTCATACCTATGATTTTCCGACAAAAGGATCTATTTCGTATATAAGATAGAGAGAAAATTACCTACTCATTTCAAAACTCATGTTGTTGTTGTTTACCAACATCGATCTTCTTTGCAAACCCTAGCTAATAAGAAAAAGTATTAAAAAAAAGTGGAAGTCTTTATTTGACTTGTTGAGAGAAAGATGTTTTATCGTTTAGATGGATCAAATGAAAAAGGAAACAATTTGACTAATTGTCTCATTTTTAAAAAAATAGGTCAACGAGCCAATTCGAATTATATGCCTCATCTCAAACAATTCCAATTGCCTCAAAACGAGTCAATCAGTAATTCCTCAATCATATTGTTTCATTAGAATTTTGTGCTGTCAAATGAGACAATTTGATTCAATTATCTCAAAACGGAGATAAGTAATCAATCAAATTAATTCGATAGAATCCCACATCCAAACTACCCGTGTACTAGAAGAAGCAAAACTATAGCTAGGTAGATACATTGGAAACATGGTGAAGCTGAATCGTAGGCTTCCCAAGAAAGAGTAGTGATGATAGAAAGTTGAGTGAGTGAGTGAATGAGTGTGCGCGCAGCTCAAAATGCCTCAATTCCCAAGGGCATCTATATATGCCACAATTTGACATGAGATTTGACACCAAACCCTAACCCTAAAAAAAAGTTAGAAAAGCCCTTTACTTGCTATATATAGCTGCTTATTATTATACGATAGAGAGAGAGGAAGGTGTAGGTATTTCATTAAAATCATTACTACAAGAACAAGAGTGTCTTTCACATTGCACCAATTGGAACAGAACAGTATTAATTAATATGCCCCAAGCTTAATTTGAAGCTTTTCCTTTGATATTTTTGCCATATTGTATGCTCACCTGAAAATCTGCACAACATACAGAAATTCATGCACCCTTCTCTTCTCTAATCATTATTACTAGCTAGCTACTTGTACATAAAAAGAAATTACAGATGGGAATCAGCAAATTATGTACCAGCTCTTCAGGCTGACCAAATTTGTTCCAACAATTAGGTGTTTGTGGATCTCGATTATGATCTCCCTCCTTCTTGCAGCTGCTGCTTATTAAACCCGACCTCGTTGTCGTCGTAATGGGCTGGTGGGAAGTGAGCCCACTGATAAACCCCCAAAATTAGTTTCATGATCTTTGCATAATTTCATATTCAATAAGGAAGCATGAATGATTTAGTAACCTCACATTCTTGGCAGCCATACTGAAAGCTTCCTTGTGAGGCATTTTGGGGTTATCAGCTTTCAGCCTCTTGATCTCCTCTCTGCCACAACAACAACATGAAAAAGAGTATATGGTTACAACATTCAGAACCCAGTTCCCGAACTAGTTCGTCTTTAAGTACGTACTTGATGAAGCGATTGTAAGCCGATGGAGCCCTCTGCCTTTTCTCTGGAGCTGGATGGATATACACAATAATTAGTAGTGTTGATTACATTACATATATGGATATATAACTAATAAGCTAGCTCGACGATCACCTACGTTTGTTGATGATGCGGTTGAGATGATGAACAGCGGCTTCTTCTTCTTCTTCTTCTTCTTCTTGTTGCTGCTTCGTCAGAGAGGCAGCTAAGAGATGGAAGGGAAGAAAAGAGGCTTTCAGCATGTTCACAGACAGCAGGCTGGTGCACTGCCCACATCTCACCGTTACCACCATCGACAAGCTGCTGCATGGCACGCTCACCTTATACCCAACAAAAAATGATCAAACACACAAAAAAAAGAGAACCAAAATGAATCGGGTTGTTTTCGGTCTGTTCACCACTTAAAAAAAAACACACACACACGCAGCAGAGAAGTCAAAAAGTGCATTCATTGAAATCAAACACCAGAGAAGTTGTTTTCCTCGCCGCGCAGGAAAACCACAGTCTATCTATATGCATACCAGCAAAATGGTGGTGCAGAATCCACACTGGACATAGCAGATCTGCTCCCCTGCTGGAAGATCAAACAACTGGCTCAGTGTCGTCGTAGATGACATTTCTTTCTTTCTTGGATGATGAAAAGAAAATGGCTTAAAGAGATAGAGATGCCAAGAACACTGGGACTTGTGTGTATATATAGAGGGAGGGAGAGGGTAATGATTAGTTTCTTTCTTTAAGAATGGTATTAGTGACTAATCAATGCATGCATAAGTACTAGTAGTGATTGATTAATAATTTTATCATTCTTATTAATAACTCTTTCATCATGCTAAATCATATATATAAATCCAAACACAATTAAACTCATAATTTACCAACAAGTTTTTAGTTAATTTCCACACCAAAAAAGTTAGGTGTGGAGAGAGAGGGAAGTTTTTGCTTACGAGATAAACACTCAACCCCTCCTCTCCCATTCCCCACCACTAATGCATCAAAAACTGTACACACTAATTAATGGCGACTTGTCAAGAAGATGGAGTCTTCAATTAATCATCATTAGGGTTTTGATCAGTACTGTCACCACCACCAACTAGCAATCTTCAACGTTTCAAAGCTAGCAAGCTGTAGTAGCTTTCATGGGGTTGTTTTCTGAGTTATTTACTGCTATATATCTATTAGCTGCAAAAGAGTTAAAGAGAGAGGATGGTGAAATTTTCCCACAACAAGTTTTTCTAGAAGAGTGCATCATGTTCCTCCAGAAAGGAAAGGAGGCATCTTTTCTGATAGATTTGTCTTTCTTCCTTTTCTTTCTTTCTAGTAGTAAATGCATGCAGAGCTATGTATCAATTCCCACATCTACCTTGCCAGGTTTCCATATCAATTCATGATCTCTAACCTTAATCTTTCATTGATCATCAGTCATGATTAGAATGGCAATGGGGCAGGTCTGGAGCGGGTATTTTGATACCCATACCCGCCTCATTGCAGGTCGGGTAATTTATTACGGGGCGTGGGTCGGGACAGGTCGACCCAATGTGTATGTAATTTATGTAAAAAACATTAGAAATATTCGTTATTTTCATTAAAACACCAAGAAAGCTAGAAACCATAATATTATAAAATCTAGTTAAATTATTGAAGAAATTGAGGTTTTCACTTAATTACAACTTTATTATAGCTAAAATATAATGTAATAAGAGGAGAATCCTAAATAATTTGACTAAGATTATATGTAATTTAGGCAAGAACGGGTCGAGAATGGGGCGGGTCAGGGCAGATAGTGTTGATGAGAGATACTCATTCCCGCCCCGCTCCAAAACAGGCCAAACAGGTCGGATAAATCGGGTCAGGTCGAAATTGCTATCCCTAGTCATGATTACGTTGAGAGTTGCTTATGATTTGGGTTGTTTTTTTTTTTTGACACTGTGGTTTGGTGATTATGAGAGGGAGGAAAAAGAGAAGTCTGCCATGTGAACGCACGTGGAAGAATGGATTAGAGCTGGAATGGGAATGGAGTGCTTAAGGAGGATGATTGGCCATTTTGGGAAGAAGGAAGGAGAGTTCGTTTTTTGAATGTGTTAATCCAACAGCAGATGGAAGGGAAGGGAAGGGAAGGGAAGGGATGGAGTTATTAATTGGCACCACTACTCCAACCACCCATTGTCAGGACCACTGGAAGGAAAAAAACAAGTCTTGTTAATTAGTAAGAAAAAAAAGAAAGTAGAATTTTTTTATGCATGTATGATGATTCAAGTGATGATCGGCTCCATTGTACCTTGTGGTTTTGTGTAGTGGCGAAAAGAAGAAAACTGATAACAATTGGTGAGTATGACTCCACAACTTTTGTGATGACCCGAATTTCTTTTGATCGGTCTTCGAGATGGTGCGCGATGCATGATGTATCGTATATGATATGAAGGCGTATAGTCATGAGTATGATTGTGAAATCATAACGAATATTGTACTTGGTAAGTTGATCGAAATTCTATACAATGGTACGTACAATCATGATTTAACCAATAGTATACTGATAAGATACGTTATAAAATAAAATAACACATGCAGTGGGGGTAATATGTCTATATAATACTGATAAAAAAAACTCGTCGATACCCTGGGTGAAATCCGGGGTATCGCATACCTTGAGTAAGAACACGCTATCCAGAACGTGAATTGACTGATCTTTCGGATATGATACAATACTCTAACCCTTAAAGATCAAAATCTAGGTCTTAATTCTCTAAATCTTATACCTCAAGATCAATTTAATTAGAAACAATAATCGATGGTTATGATTCGTCCAAATATAAGCAAAAAAATCAATGCACCATCTTAGGGTTTATAGTTTATGATTTAGATACTTAGGACCTAGGGTTCACTCATTAAGGGTTAGGGTATAGTATCATGCCCAAAAATCCTTCTAATTCGAGGTCTAGATAGCGTTTTCATACTCAAGGTATGTGATACCCCAAATTTCACCCGGGGTACCGTAGAAGGCACCATATATATATATATATATATATATATATATATATATATATATATATTGTAATAGTGGATAAAAGGAACATTCAGATATATGGTGGCGTATTCGGTGCACTCACTTTTTTGGGTGCATTCAATGCACTCGCTTCATAATTATCATTCTGAGAAGGCGATTCATGTGAAAACGATATTAGTCATCACTTGTGGTTTGATAAACAAGAAACACATGAATTTGTATAAAAAAATTCAAGATTTACTTTAATTTGACTAATTTAGGGTTTAAGAATTTAGAGTTAGGGTTAAGGTTTACAATTTAGGATTTTGGTTTGGTATTCAAAATTGAAGGTTAAGGGGTTATGATAATGGATTGATTAATTGTGATTCTATATTATATCATCATATTAGACTAATGCTACCAATTAAAATTCAAAATTTGATGTATTATTACCACTTTTAAAGTTGAGTGCACTGAATGCACCGATGTATTATCACCACTTGTGTATTGTATTGATCTAATTGCCGGTAAATGATTTTTGTGATTTAACCTCAGTACTGTAAAATATCACAAACCAAAGGTCACGTTTAGTACAATTTTGTTGTTGTTGGTGGTGCTGCAAAGTTGTGACAACAGAGGTACAAACACAACAACATGAAAAATAAAAAAACAGAAACATGTTTAATTGGTAATTATAAGGAAGCATGGAAGTTTGACAACTAAAAACATAAATGCTTTTAGTTACTTCTTTAGACCTGTTTAGTATATATTAATGCTGAGAGTAAAACAAAAGTAGAAAAATATTGGGATGAATATACTGTGTGACATTATTAATTATGATAAAATTGTGGATTATTTTAATGCAATTGATAAGAAAGTTCATTCTAGATGATCATAGATCTTCAATCTCAATAATGATAATTATTGATGCATCTTCTATCATACAAGCTTATCCCTTTCACTAATGTCATCCTAACCGAGCTTTCACTACATGCAAAAGGAATTATAACTAGCTAATTCATGCTTTCGCTTCATGCCACTAGACTTATTAATCAAACAAGAAGTGTGGATCACATTAAATATTTAGGGCTTCTACGAACCAATGGTGCATAACATTGAAGATCTAAGGTATCAAACATTGAACTTAGTCGAGCATAAATGGTTGATCATTCAATTCCATACAAGTCTAAGAAGACAATGACATATCACACAAGATGTAGTTTCCTGGCAACTTAACTTGATATTGGAATAACATTATGATTGCACATAATAGATGATGGAGGCATCACATGGTTAATGTATCATAAAATTAAGATACTCAAATAACATAAGCATCACATGACTGAGGCATCTAATGGTATATACATCGAATACCATAGATAAAAAATGACCAAAGCATCACATTATATTATAGAAAGAAGATGCATAAAGCATCAATAGAATTCACATCCTTAACAACAAAATTTGAACTAACAATACATAGAACAAAAGGATGGTACCATCGATGATGAAGAAATCGCCTTAGTCGCTACCTCATATGAATGATAATTCGTCCTCCCTCAAGCCAATTGGCTCCTTGCTTGAGTTATACAGAGTGATTTTCAATGAAATTTGCAGCCTAATAATTCTCTTAACCTAACCCTCTACTTATAGTGGAAGGAAAAGGGATTTTTTAAGTATTCTCCTCCTAAACCTCTGCCAAAAGCTTCCCGGTATCACTGAGACTTGGATTCCTTAACTCAAGGATGAAATAAAGCATATTCCAAAAGATTTCACGGGTCACCAATGCTGTAAGTTTTCCATCGGATTCAACTTGCTTTGCCCACAAGTAATTCATATCTTAAATTTCAGCACGACTTGATGGGTTCGGCGTAGCGACGATTGGTACTATCACAAGGCTTCTGTGGGTTTCTGTGTAGGTTCAGGTTGAAATTTCTCTAGTGGAATCCTCTTGCGCTTTTATGACAACTTCATGAAGGCTTCCCTCCATTTGTCTTCGTTTAATGAACAAATCACCTTGATCTTTTAGTAATTGTCCCTCTTGATCCTCACACTTGAGCCAATTGCTAATCCAAATCATCCTAGAGTGTGTTTGACCTTGAAAAGCACAAAATAATAAAAAAAGGGGATAAAATGATATTAAAACACATCCTAAGTCCACTATAATCACATTGATCTCATATTTATGATTTTTACGCAAAATATACTAAAGATGTAGTGATAGAAGGGGTAAATGTATCAAATATGGGAGTGATAAACACTATAATTTGAGTGTCATCACACTTCTTCGTATTTCCTGTCAGTGAAAAAGGGATTACTCTCAACCTAATGGCACCTTTGGTGGCTTCGTCTCCTGGAACTGAATCTGAGATCTCCGGTAATGTCTTTAGCTGCTGCACCGGATCATCATCACTCCTTTATCGGATCTCCCAGCTTGTTGCACCATCTGCATCAACGATGTGTGAATCTCCATGGTTATTGGTGGCACACCAATGCTAGCATGAATATTCGCAATAGTGCTTCAATACTCATATAGATCACGTGGAACCACCATTCTTTGTTGCTCTCCCATCGTGGATGATGTGGAAGATGCTACAGATGATGCTTTTTCTGGAACATCGAAGAGACAATCTTTGTTATCATACCATCACTATAACCACTTACAA